TAAATCTATGTTAGTATTATGGGATAACTTTTGAGTTTGTACAAAGAAAAATTGAAGTTGTTTGAGAAGTACTCGAAGGTTCTAAGTGAAACTTTTAATATACTTTTAATATACTTTAGTAGTTATTAAAGAAGCACAATTGCAAATCTTATGAAAATGTTTGTTTCTTTATTGAAAATAATAAAAAAATTGCTGGTATATACCTATATTTTGAAAGATAAAAGCAAAAAATGTTATTAAATATGTGTCAAAAAAATAGCTGACTAAGCAAACTACAGCATAAAATCAAACACACTTGTCAGTGATTTTCCTTAATACTTTTTTCATATTTTCCTACCAAACAACAGTGCAAAACACAAAGGATTTTTATGAAAGTTACTTTTTATTAAATGAAGTTGTTGAGAGAATGTCATAAGTAACATAAGTGCGTGTATCTGTCGTAGATATAAAGAAATCCTGAGAAAAAACTCAAGAGGAATAAAAGTGAAAGTGTCGTTAAGTTGTTTTTGTGACATAAACAAACAACACAAAGAGAAAGTTTAACAAAATAATAATAATCAAACAGAGGATACGAAACATAAAAAAAGATACTTTCGATTATATTTTGTTTTTAGTTTAAGTATAATATTTGCGTGTCGTTGTGCACTTGTATCTGACAATTGACATGTGTTGAATGTACTTTTATTTCGACAACGAACATTGACTTAGTCCGGTACATACACACTTTGTTTTAGATCTATAAGTACTTTTTATAAGTACTTTTCTCTTATAAGTTTGAACTAAATACCAACTCAATGAGATCCTGGGACACATATGCATTGCAATCGGTTGTTATAAGCACTTCAATGAACAACCTGACCAGCATATGTTAACACGCTACACTGTTTCAATAAGTTCTCGTTTGTAGTTTGCTATCGCAAGCCAGTTTCCAATTGTAATAAAATTGGGAAAATATGCAGTTTTATTTTTAGTTTTTCAAACTATTTTCGTCTTTTTATCTTTTAGTGTTTTGTGTTTTTTGCTTTGTTCTCTTCCATTTCTATTTCAATATTTACCACAAATTGTGCAAAACACTCGAATATCCTGTGGGGAAATACGGAATGGCTCTTGCGGGTCACCTCTTACGAAATGCGCATAAATTTGTGTTGTGACAAGTTTGCTTTATCCCTTATGGGCTTGCATGTATAATATTTGAAAATCCATTTTCTGCTCTGCTATTTTCTGCTGCTTTACGGTTTTTTGATTATTTTTCTATATTTCTCTATATATTCCTATATTTTCTTATTTTCTTTCAGACACTGCAGGCTTAATTTGATCCTGAGGTAGGTGTTAAAATGAATTAGAAATGTTGGTTGTGCACATGAAAAGGGATAAAAACTTCAAAAAATAATTTTGATTTGGTGTGGTATAAATTATATATAATTATGCAAGGATTATATCTAAATGTTTTTCTATTATAATTTTATACAAATATATAAGGATGAGGAAACTTTTAAAATAAAAAAGAGATTATCCCTACAAAAAGCTAACTAGAATGCAAAACTAACCTTAAGCAATAAAGAGCATTTATAGTCGAAACTTTGGATGATACTTTTTAAGTCCCTTCTTTTTAAATTTAAATGTATTGCCTAGCATAAAATTCAACTGAGAATTTAATTGCCAAGATACTTGAGCACAAATAGTTTATTAATATAAAGTTTAACGAGATATAATTTTAGCTGTTTTAGTTATATGTATTAATACTTTTTAAAGATTAAAAGTACTCAAAAAGATTTGTAAAAAAATCATTGCCGAATTTGTGGAAACGTGGAGGAAAAAAAAAATTATTAAACACTTCATCTTTGTCATCCAGAAGAAACAGTTTTTTTAGAAGGTATTTCTTTCAAAACTTATCGGATTGTTCATCCGAAAAGATGAAAGAACTATTATATTATCTAATTCGATGGAATGTATTTAGTCTGTATTCTTCTATCTTAGAGTATCTTGCAAGGAATGTGGTACAAAAATGGCGAAAAAAATGCACATTGAGGTACATGAAGAGTTATCTGATAGACTGCCACTGCAACAAACGTACTATCTAACCATAATCATAATTTTTTGATCGAAAACCAGAAGGTTTTTATTTCCTGGATGCAGGGATAGTTAAGGGAACATGACAGTAGAAGATTTGGCCAAAATAGGTTCAATAATTAATGCACAAAAGGCTGATTTATTGAAATCAGACTCTGATATGTAAACTGTTTAGTACTGCTAAACAGAGCTCATCATAATTGTGAAAAATAACAATCGCGTAAATATGAAGTAACCAGAACCTTATAGCCTCGAGTAAAAAAAACTAAAAAGAAAAGTCAAGTTTCAGTAAACCTTCAGATCGTGCACTTAATGGTTTGTACCAGTTTGTACTTCTATGCTCCAATGGTAGCATATTTTGTTAAGTGGACTGTGAAGCGTGATGAAGATTTATTGAGCTCATCAATCACTTACTATATCTGTGCTTAAGACTACAGACAAAGCTTCTTTAATTTCTTGAACAGATATATTAGGTCTGTTCAGCTTTAGCTGGTATACCAAAAGGTTTAATAACGAGAAAAGCAAGAAATAACAAAAGTTAGTATAATTTGCCGATTTCAAAAGAGGCGAATAGTGCAAGCAAACTGTATAGAAATTGCCATAATAAAGAGAAGGTGATCCATCTAGAAATACATACGAAAAAGTTTCGTAATCAACGAAAAGAATTGTTTTTATTAAATTCCACTAAATTTGACAATTTTATATTATCGAAACAACCGACAAAAATCAGATTAACTTTTCAAGATTTCTATACGCGTTCTCTAGCCCAAACACAAGACAATAATATTTATTCTTAAGCAGGGTTTAAAAGCAACACAGTCAGAGATTCCTTATATAAATCTTAACTGTCCTCCGATTAAAATATTTGCTACTCAGATTATTGCAAATTTCTGCGCTCAGAATTAACTCCATCAAAATATAGAAACATACAGATTAACACTACACCGTAATTCTGCAGCGGCTTACATACATACCAACAATTATCAATTGCACCATCTAAATTATAACTTGAGATAACAGATACAAAACTTTCATTTCTAATAGTTAATTATTAAACTCGGTACTGTCGAATAGTGACAAACCAGTCTATATGTATACAGGCAGCTTTCAACTTTGATAAAAGTAATACAGTGGTGTATTTAGGGATATTCTAAATTGGTCTTCCAACTTCCGAATACCAGATTATAATAATGTTGTGTTACAATGGAGTTACAGTAAATTATGAGACTTCAAAGATAGCAGATTGTAAAATGACATTGTATGGCAACGTTCCCTCAGTTCGGGTAAATAAGATACCTAGTCATATATATATAAGATGCCTAGTCAATATATAAAACTATCATATCCGCAATAGGTTTTCTTGTTTGTTGCTATAAGAGTCGTGTTAGCCAAATAACAATTACAAAAGCAGAAAGTGACTGGAGAATAGTACGAACAAATTATAAATGAAGGAAACTTTGGTCTAAAATATTACAAAAGAACAGATTTTCTTCCAAGTTAAAGAAAAATTAGTATGAATTTACTGACATGCAACTACGTTACACCCAGTAAAGACCTTTAAAGAAGTTGTCAGGATAAAGTCATAAATGAAATAATTGTGTATTTGTTAAGTCAGATGATTAACTGGTTTGGAGATCTTGACCTAGTTAATATAACAGATAAGGGAGGATTTAAGTTTTGGAAATCAGACTTGAAATTCAGTTGGCGTGGGAAAATTTTTCCAACGGTATCACAATGGACTCTTAACCTGCCCTAATATCTCTCGTGGTGGGATTGTTATTTCGTAAAGGAAATCATGAAAATAAAAGTTTTATGTATTTTTTTTTTATAAAGTGAAAACTGAGTTTGATACTAAAACTTAAAAGTATTTAAAATATATCTCATCAACTAAATTTTCTAACACTTTGATACTATATACACGCATATATGAAATTTGATTATTTATTAATATACCATACATTAAAAATTGATAATATTTTTATTTACAGTATTTTCTGGAGTAAAAAGTTAAAAATAAACGTATGATATAAATAATTGTTTATATGTTTATATATATTTCATATATATCTTTTTTTTTTTTAAAACAGTTATTAAACCACATTTTGTTAATAATATATTTTTTACACTTTTACTCACAACAGCTCATATACTGAACAATGTTATTCCAGTATTATTTGGATTTTTTTCCCAATTCGTAGATATTGACATTTTATATATATTATATGTTTTTGTTTAATCTAATAACATTTGTACATATCAGTGAGATTATGCTATTTTATATGGCATTTAGTTCGCACAAGTTTCAAAACCTATTTAAAACACATTAAACTCACACTTTTATGTGAACACATTCATGAAATACAAACATAAATATAATATTGAACTCAGAATAACATATATATATATATATATATACATATATATATTATATAAAAACTATATAAACATATAAATATATATTTTGTTGATGCATATTATTAAATCACATACGGCATTTATAAGTCAGGTATGGCCACAAAAAAATGTTTTACTAGATTTTTCTACATTTGACAGGTGACATTTTTGCATAGAATCGTTATCAAAATATTAATAATATGTGTTAAAAGTTTTACATATGCCACAGATTAAAAATATTTGAATATTATTTTATTCAGAAAACAATTCGTTTCTTTCTTTTTTTTTTGGTGTAATTTTAAGAGTGCTACGTTCGCATAGATAAGGTTGACAATTTGAATATGCGACCTTTTGTGATTTTATTTTAATATCAGTCGAGTTAACATTTTGAATATGGTAATTTCAGACAACTGTGGATTTAATCGAAAACTGAATAGAGATTATAAAAATAAAAAGTAATTAAAAACAATATTATTTTGTTAGGTTTGCATAAATTAAAATTTAAATAAAATAATTTTGTATATAAACAAACTTACTTCTCCCCAGAAATTATAGTCACTTGGATCTTCACCGGAAAAATTAACATCCATCTAGCAAGATACAAAATTAAAATATATAAAACAAAGTGAAATTAAATAAAAAAATTAGCATTTAAAATAAAAACTAAAATTGAAAAAATAAGATTTAAAACTAAAGCTATTAAGTAACTAAATAATATGTATATTTTGCTATCAATTTTCAAAAATATATCTTGCAAATTTATAAGATACAGATGAAACATATATCGGTCTAACTGATTTTTTACGATAAAGTGATGTTATGACATGAAAATATATAATTTAAAAGTTTACGTTATAAAGTAGTAGTGAATTATACGGAATTTAGGTCGTGTGTGAGTTAGGCTAAGTTGATGCTAAACTAAATCGGAGATTTTTTGGGATTTTTTGCACTGCACACATTTAGCCATTTATCAACACGTATCGGCATATCACTACATTATCGGCACAACTTAGAATTTCCCTCATTTAGAACGCAACTTAGCCTAACTCGCACACGACCTAAATTAAAATTAATTTTAGGACGTGTGCGAGTTAGGCTAAGTTGATGCTAAACCAAATGGGAGATTTTTTAGGATTTTTTGCACTGCACACATTTAGCCATTTATCAACACGTATCGGCATATCACTACATTATCGGCACAACTTAGAATTTCCCTCATTTAGAACGCAACTTAGCGTAACTCGCACACGACCTAAATTAAATGTTTACCTACTTTTTATTTTAAATTCATTTAAAATTAAAATTAAAGATCACTATAAAAGAAATCCATATATATTATACACGTTAATACACTTTAAAATTTTATGGCTTTTAATAACAATATGATTTACAAACTATTTGAAATAAAAATATGCAAATGATATGATGGTATATATTATAAAAATAATATATAATAATTAAATGTAATATTATTAAAATTTAAAAATTAAATACAGTATTATTACGATATAACCATTAAATAAAAC